GCTGTCTGTACTAAAAATCCCTGGAGTAAAAAGTCTTATCCAGACCAGTCAGCCAGGGCTTAGCTCCCTGGCAAACTGCTCCTCTTCCCTGGGATGTTACTTCCTACCACAATGAAGAAACTGCCAAGCCATGGGAAATGCTCCAACACAGGGACAACCATCCTCAGAACTGACCTGCATTACTGCAGCACATATCCACGTTCAGAACTGAAAGCAAAACTAATTCCTTCAACTTACAGTTTTGATCCAATAAATCTTTTCGAGCACGCAATACTTGACACCTTCGGAGGTGAGCAAGAAAGAGCTTGCGTTTCTGCACGCCCACATTGAGGGAAAGACTCCCTCCTCACCTCTCCCTGTTTCTGAGAGGTGCTCAGTTAATACCCTTGCACTGAGAGCTTCTCTCCATCTTTTTTTAACCTGTATAGATTAGGAGCCTTTTTGGGGGAAGAGACTGTTTCTTGCCCTATTTACGTAAAGGCTCTAGAACACAAAGGTCTCAGCTGAACCTTTACTGGATTAATTTCTATGTATTACTGGGTTAACTTGCTAGTTGTTTTAACTGGGACCCTGTTACAGTGAAAACAACATTAATGTGTGAGTTGGAACGCCACCCTTAGTCTCTACAAAATTAATAGTAATATTGTAAAATATTAGGACTTATGGACACAGTTTTTCTATAACATCATTTGATTCAGTGCAGCAAGCACTTTACAATGCTTTCTTCTCTGCACACACGTTCCTGCAGTGTCTGATCTCTCATCCTTAATATCAGCAATGAATCCCTCTGAATAGCCAAAACATACTTAAGTTTAAGAATTTTTTTTCTGAAAACAGACAATACATGTAAGAACTAAAAAGCCAAAAGGAATGATCCCAAATTTCCTTAACTCCCGTTAATTACAAAAACCTACATAAGAACGTGTTGAAAAGAAAAGAACTTGTTCTTTCAGGATCTCCTTGGATATTCTGATAATATTACTAGTTTTGAAAAACGAGAAGCCTGAGATTTGTTCAGATAAACATAATACATACAGTGGGAAATGAACCGACCGACAAATGATCTCAAATTAACTATTTGAGATTTGCTGTGGGTTGTCATGACACACAAATTGATGGACTAACTTGTAACCAACAATATTAAGCAGTTAAGTGCTTATATTTGTAAATATAAATATGTATTTTTTTTAAAGTTTTTTTTTTTTTTAGTTTTCAGCATATTTTACAGTATCAATACATGGTTTTTCAGTGCTTAGCTAGTTTATATTTACCTGAAGAAAGAGAAGGAAAAATCTATTCTAAAACAGCTGGCCAGGAATAAAGGGGTCTTCTCAAACTGTAGAGAAGCATGGTCTCATTTCCAACTGAGACGCTGTGGCTAAAGCCTACATAGTTCTCTAATATCTCTTCTTGATAGTAACAGAGACGGCCGTCTTCCCTTGAGGTGATCCTAAAGATGTAATCTTTCCATGCCCCTTTTCTGATGTGAATTCAATTAACAATATGGAACCGTATCTTATTTCCCTTTATTTACATCAGCACTTCCATACGGACTCTGATATTATTCCTGTCATGCTAACTCAGGCTTCCTCTCTTTCCTTCAGTTAGATTTCAACACAAAGAAAATCTACTGTGCTAGTTAAGCATGCTGTAGATACAAGGTGAGATACAGAGGCAGAAGAAATGCAGTGTGTTAGCAACTGTTCTTACAGAGAGAAGAGAGTTTGAAAACGTTTGAAAGGAAAGCAGAGACAATGAACGGGTTATCTGAATCCCTGGGATCCTCCTCTTTAAAATCTGTGATGTTAATGAGTACCACTTTCACAGCACAGACAGCGAAGATGTCGTTCCCTGTGCTACACGCGTCACTTCTCTCTAAAGCATCAGTCCTGCACTCTTCCCCCTCTTCAAATCATTTCCTGATGCCTCCACTGCCGCTTTTCCTCATTATCGGCTTTCCCTTTTGCTGATGTCTGATCTGTTTCCACGTTCTACATTATGTCCTGCACTTGAAAAGCACATTCATGTGACATTTATTGCAGCCTTCTCCTAGGGCACCAGCAACTCTCAGCTGAGAGCCTCTGACTGCACACCGGAGGCACAGGCAGAAGCAATCAGAACATGCAGGAATGGCAACATCTATTCACTCCCATCCCAAAGTGCAGATTTCCTTTAGAAACATGATTCAAATAACAGTGCACTAGAGAAATCATTTCAAATTTTGAGTACAGAGCACATGTTAAAAATGAACTGCTTTGAAATGTCGCTTTGGGTCTCCTGCAGCACTGTGCAGACACTATAGAGAACCGTGAAGGGAGCTGTCAAGAGTTTTTATTCGGAAAAAAAAAAAAAAAAGAGAAAAAAAAAAAAAAAGAGAAAAAAAAAAAAAAAGAGAAAAAAAAAAAAAAAGAGAAAAAAAAAAAAAAAGAGAAAAAAAAAAAAAAAGAGAAAAAAAAAAAAAAAGAGAAAAAAAAAAAAAAAGAGAAAAAAAAAAAAAAAGAGAAAAAAAAAAAAAAAGAGAAAACAAAAAAAAAACAGCAGTGCACTGGACAGAAAAGGGTTGTACAATTCACAATCTGTTGCTGTCCAGAAACAGAAACAGAAGCAGAAGCAAGTTCAAATTGCTCAATTCATGGGCTCCTTCAAAACCTAGAGTCTTAACAGACAAATCATAACCAAGATCTGTGAATTTAAAAAGACTTTGCTTGAAGTCATGCGCACGCTACCAGCTGTGACAGTTCACTCGACCCCTGCTCACACTTTGGATCTAACACACGGCTCATGCTAAGGCCTGATGTCTGCTGGGAACAGCGCCATTAGGCTAAAGCGAGAGCAACACCTACTGCCAGACACTCAAGGACAAAAGAGAACGAGGTCTTCCTTCCTTGCAGTTTTATAAGTAATTGCCTATTAACATCTGTTAAGACCCAAACTCTCTGGAATTAAATTCCTTGCCCAGTGACCAAAACGACCAGTAGTGATGGCAGACACCAAACTTTCTGAGCTGGAAGGTACAAATATGTCAGCTCACCCAAACAGCCTTTGAAGCAGGTCCTCCAGCAGCTGGGATGCCGAGCTTCCTGAGGGCTCATGCCCCTGTGCAAGTCAGGGGACGCCCGCATCGTGACATCAGTTAGATAACTATTTTGCTCATAAGCGCACAATATTAACAAAATATCAAGTTAAAAAATCAACAAACTGGCAAACTAAGTAACGAGAGAATTAACAGTTTAGGCTAGTCTACAGAGAAGGGTTAATCCCTTCTTTGCCTGTTAGCTGCTTTTTTTTTTTTAAAAAAAAACTTAATGAGCTTGTAAAAATAAAGTTTCTTTCACATACTACATTGTCCTGTAAATCTGAGACATCACAATGAACTGCAACACTAGATGAGCCATAAGCCAATTCAAAGCATAGTCTAACTCTCCCAAATCACTTCAGTCGGGGTGAGAGCAGGAGGACCCACTAGGAAGGAGAGTACGACTACAGCGAAGGCAAAAAGGGCTCTCGAACATGTTGTTCCTTCTCAAAGGGGTGGCTGCTGACAACTTTGAGATCAGCAATTACTCAGTTCTCCAGGCTTGCCATGGGCCATGCCACGACTGCCTGCCCTCCTCTGGCGTGCCCGCTATGTCAGACTTGCGATATAACCTCAGGGCGATAGTTTTCCTCTGTTCCTGTGCTAAGAAAATTTTCCTATGAACGAAGGCAAAATTTGTACACCTTCTTTGTGCTGCTCTGACCCCTTCCGTTCTCTGAGCTGTTCCCCGTTTCACAGCAACGGAGAGAGAGAGAGCGCTGAAAAGCATCAGGAGTATTTGGCTTCTAAATACCCTTCTCTTCCCCAGTCTGAGTGACGTACACACTGCTTGAGTGTCTTTAAAATAAAGGAAGATTAAAACACATGGTCAAGTAACTCCAAAAACATCCGGTGGGGAAAAAAATTGCACCATTTTTTCCCTAAAATCTGTTAGAAGTTTTATAGCAAAATGACATCTGTCAAGTTCTTACCCGCAACGATTACATGGATTGCCTGTTTTCGCCATAAATATATTTTATTTACACAGTCTTTATATGATCTTTGTCTAGCCAGACAGTACTGTACTGCAATATTTGCACAAGTCAGTAATTTAGTTTTTTTAAATGCAGTCTAGAAACCCTGAAATGTTCTGAAACTGTAAAAAGAGAACCACATGCAGTATTATTACAGAAGAACAGTTTTTGGGTGAAAAAAAATATCCTGATAATGAATTACTTCCTCATAAATACACCACTCTTTACAAACAGCAGGAAACTGACTTCTTTTTGCAGGTTCTGTGGAGAACACGTCTGCTAAATGCAACTTTCTTTTATCAGGGCTAGGAAGTAATTATCTGGAACGTCAACCCAATACTCTGAATCAAATCACATTTGTATTTAATGCCACTGTCATTGCCATCACAGATAAAAATCAACCCTGAGGCACACACCCAGATGCTGTCTTCCAAGGATATGAGTTGTAGAAATTTTTCTGTAGAAGGGAAAAATGTGAAAATATTTTGACAGATGATATCATTTGTAAGATTCACCTCTGAAATGTTCTCAAAATACCATGATATAAGGGACTGCAGTACCTACACCTCTACAGCAACTGAAAACATTATTTATTGTAGGAAAAAAATATTGAACGTGTGAAGCTTGAAATGTACTGCTTTTTGTTTTTGGGCAATGGATGGAATTGTACTTTAAGTGAAAGTCACTTTAAAATAACAGTGACATTGAACAGGCTTAAATCTTTTTTTAATAGATAACACACTCATTTAGTGCGTTGACAACTGCCATTTACTTCTGGAGGTTAGAAACAAAACAAGTCATTAAGTGAGTCATAACACAGTAATTTGCATATCCCACTAAAAATACAAAATATTTTTTAGAAATTGAGGAAGTGGCATTCAGAGAGCCCTCTGCCATGCCAGGTGACCCCCAGTTCAGTTTAAACGTATAAAAACATTCTGGTCTTTTTCCTGTTGGCCTACCTAAACTGTTCCAAATTTTATGCCTAACTCCATTTATCCATTTTCTCATCTGTTTTTCCGTCCACAGAACTAAGAGACAATTCGTCACATTATAAAATCTTTCAATCTAAATTTACTTCCAGACTACTCAACTGAGATGATAGGCTTGCAAGCCCAAGTAAATCAGGAAAAGGGAAGGGAAGCTGCTGGAAGAGAGAAGAAGTTGGCATACCTTCCCTTTGTTGAAGTAATGGATAATCTTACGGCACAGACCTTCCTTACGTTGCCACTCTGACTGAGACGGATAATGCAGGAACTCTCTCAGAGGTCTGTCCTCCCACTGAAGCAACTCACAGTACAAAAGCAAGGTAAATGCGGCCTCTGTTGGAAACGCAATCGTTGAACACCAAACAGAACGCCTACAGATAAATACTGCTAATAAGTTAAAATACACTTAGCTTTATTAAGCAAAATGCTGTTCTTAAGATGCATGGTGTCTGTGTGAGGTGGAAGCACATTAGTAATACTCACACTTTCCCTCCTCCCCTCCAATATCATTCACGCTCCTCTAAAATGCCAGAGGTTATACAAATGCATATAATTTAAACCAGTGTCTCATATTGCAAAGAGTTTTATGATACATTATCCTATGGTTCCCTTCATTTTTCTCTTTTTCTTATAAATACTTCTTGAACTGAGAGTACGATGAACGATATTTGTGGCTTCTACGAACACTGGCAAGGGTCACTATTGATTCTTCAGTGTGCTTCTCCCTTGAGCTATGGTATAGAAATTAGGCTCTTCACCAGGTTGGTTATCTACAAAGTTAAGTGTTTCCTACACCTCACCAAAATTAATTAGCAATATGACCTCACAGAGCTCAAATTATAGGAAATTAACACAAAACTACTAACTGACAAAACACAAAGCCAAATACTGTGGGCTTTTCAAACTGTGGTGTGAATTCAAATGCCATGGTCTATATTCTGGAAAGTCTTTCTGCACTGGCACGCTTTAATATACAGTGTTATTTTAAAAACATATTTCATATTTTGTTTGCGAGTAAATGATGTATCGTAATCCCAGAAAGTATGCCAAAATTCTCCTCAGATGTTTCCAATCTCATTTCCAAAGGGATTTTCCTTTTCCTTTGTGATATGGTTCTCATTCCTTCTCAAAGAGTTTAGAATTTCTGATTTACCATTTAAGAAAAAATTCTGAGGTGTTATATTATCATAAAACTACTCAATAATTTAAAATAGCACACAGCCCTTTCCTATAAACTACTATTTTTTTTCTATAAAGTGCTTTTTGGGCTCTCTCTGCCATACAGCAGCAGAGAACTTGCAATGTGCTTCTGAGATTGTAAAATAATTACTAAAGAATATGATATTTTATCTGAGAAATTAAGTATTCTGTAATATCAACAACATACCACAGAAGGGATGCAGAGAGACACATGCGCAAGTAATCTTAACTTTAGTCTTTTGAAAAAGTTGAAGCTCTCAACATATGTTTTCAGTGGAAAGCTCTGAGCTAACTAACTAGTGAGCTCGTTAGGAACTAACTGGCATACGTGGCAGGGCTGGGAAAGAGCAACAGCAAGAGTGTCAATGTGGCTACAGACGTCCAAACTGTTTTTTCTTTCCCTTTTCCTGCCTACAGCCTACACAAGCTGCTCCAGCAATCAGGGAAGAGCAAGAAGCAGTGCTGGCTTTGCCCTTTGAGGACATCCTCTCCTTTGCAGTGTGATGCAAGGTGTATAGAGAGTGATATGTTAATATATTAATACAGATTAAACTTGGATAAATATATGGATGCAAGTCTGTGCGCATAACTGGTTTTTAGGTATAAATCTTTTTTTTTTTTTTTTAACTAAATACTTGATTTAAATGAACAGTCAGATACTCAAATGTGTAGCTTGATTTGGGGCTCTGTTTTTATAAACAGAGTTTGCATAACAGCGAATTATAATCTACAGACTTTATTAAGTGTGCCCCAAGTACTACAATGCAGAGAACTTTGGCAAATGGTAATACAACAGTAATTTCATATGTTTCATGATTTTAACCTTCCTCTAATTTTGATTCCACTATTGTGATTTTTGGATCAGCCTTCATTGTAGAATAGATTGATGTAAAATTTTGGGTGCAAAGGAATATATGTATGGCTGTGTGTGCACAGACATACAGTTTTTTCCTTGATGGAATGGGCTGGACCACAGCTTTGAATCTTTCCAACTGAGCCAAACAAAATTTTTCCAAAGGAATTCAACAGATGTTAGAGAGTAACACTGAGTAACCCTGCATGAAGTCTTACTAACCTGTGTAGTTCTCAGCCTGTAAGTGCATGTCACACAGCTTGTGAATATAGCGGATGTACATCTCTTCCTTATTAATTTCAGATTTATAGAAGTTCTGTAAAAGAAAAATAGTTATTCTCATTGAGAGTCTGTTCCTTCATTCAAGAAAATCAGCAGCATCTGTATATGCATGAAGGTCTTGAAAGGAGAACACACTATTAGTGTCAAAGAAAAGGACAAATTCTTTTCACATTCACATTGATTTAACTCACTAATTTTATCGTGTCATGCATTTTTTCACAATGAGGGTAGTCACCCTCCGAAACAGAGGGCCAGAGAGGTTGTAGGATCTTCATCCTTGGAGATATTCAGAACTCAACTGGACAAAGCCCTAAGCAACCTGACTTAGCTGGCCCTGCTTTGAGCAGAGGGTTGGTTGGACCAGCGACCTCCAACTAGACCAAGGATTGGAGATCCTTCCAATCTGTGTCGTTCTGTCATCCCAGTGCTAGGATTTAGAAGTTATACCTGCCTGACACAGACAGCTATCCCAACCTTTCCTATTCCAGTTTCAAATATATTGCACAGTACCGCAAAGAGATAAAGAAAGTGACTTTACCATAAGATTAACAGTGCAGCCAATCTTCTTGTTCTCTGTTTCATCGCCTTTCATACAGTCCCTAAAAAAGTAGAACAACTTTGAAACGTACACCCATAAAAAAAGTCCATTCAAAATAAATTTGAAGCTATCCTATCCCCCAAGAGTTTCCTCGGATCACAAAAAAAAAGAGTTAATGATATACTTTACTTTATTTTATATTCTAAGTTCCTCCTAGAGGAACGTACATATTATGGCCTAAATGATGCGATAAGGACTATCAGAATTGAGTGTGTTCTTACATGTATGAACTGGAGAACAAGCACCTGAACTGACTGCTGCTTCAATTCTTACAAGACCCTGAAAAAAATCAGATGATTGCAGCCAAAAATCATTTGAACTAAATACCTACTATAAAAGTGAAAAACTCTATTATTTATCCAGATGTAAATAGTCAGTGATTTCCTATTCACAAGGTTTACGTCTCATAAATTTAGCTATCTGAAGTGTAGGCACCCTGAAAGACACAGCCTGACTAGTTTAGACTAGAATACTGAATTTCACACAGATAAGTTAAGCCACACAAAACCTATCCTGAAGTCTCTGGAAGATTTTAGAAATTATTTCTATTATTTAATCAGTACAAAAGTTAAAAGCTTCAGACATTGCTAAGCTTCACTTGAAAAAAGCCACTTACATTCATTTGTGAAAAAGAGACAAAACTTAAAGCAGTGATACAGCAAAGTTTCCTGAGAACTACTTTGTCAGCTAAATTGGTGGCTAGACTCCAGTCAAGACTCTCTTCTTTTCATAGCTCTCTGTGATACAGAACTATCACAATAGCCAGGACGCACTTGATCTGTGCCTTTCCAAATTCTGATGCCGTTCCCTGTTCTATTCTGCTTTGTGAAAGGGAAATTCTGCTGCATATTAATTGCAAAGAAAATCTGTTATCTGTTCCTGAATTAAGCATGAAAATGAATATATGAGTATCAAATTTGAGTTGATAGTAAATGGGTTTTTAAAAAAGCTATTCCCATGTTTTATTCCTTTTTAAATGTGTCTCAGATATCTGTCTGGTCTTCCTTAGTAGATGTACAGCAGCTGTGGTCATGAAAGAAACAGGAGATTTGATCAAATTAGTAAAAATAAGAGGAAAAGAGGAGACCAAAAGCACAGAAAAAGGTCTGGCATTGCAGAGTACTCAGCCTAGCCATAGGTTTTCACCTAGAGTGAGGAGCACAAGAATAAACAATTATTATTTAAACTGTTGTCAGCTGGCTAGAGATAGAAATATATGGAAGAGTTTCACGTTTTCTGTTGTTCCATTAAAACACCTCTGTACATATTAAGTTACATATATGAAGTTAGAATATTTTCCTGTAACTACATCAAAGCTCAAATTTATTCACACAATAGTCCTGCAAGCTTCAGTCTAAATCAAGCAAATAAGGCCTAATTTATAGTGGAGTCTTGCACATCTGCGTCAGCAGCTGATATGTGAAAAGATACGTCCTTGGGTGAAAAGAGTTGCAACCCTGCAGGTCTAGACGAAGCATTCGACACATGACCCCAAGGCATTTGAAATCATTCTTATATTTAGCATGTATTCTGCTGAACTAGATGTGACCATTCCAAAGCCAGAAGGAATTAATCAACGTGCAACCTCAATAAACCACGGTACATAACTAAGACTTAACAACTTTCTTTATCTTCAATATTTATCAGCAGTAAGGATGCAAGAATGAGAATTAGGGCTCTGAAGTTGCGGAACTATGATTTTTGCTCAGAGCCTAGCAGCAACGTGTTACGCATTCATAATGTGCCATGCATTCATATACTTGCCACTATAAAACCAACTGGGAGCACAGTAAGCAATAAAAGCATTCTTTGTACCAAAGAAATTTGGTACTAGTGCTCTATAAATGACTACTTATACATATACCTAGAACGCATTACTGTCGTAGCCAGATACCTGTAGTCAAGCAGACGTTCCATGAGGCGAGTAACCGACGTAACAAAAGAGATTCCAGTTTCCCGCCACGTTTCCTGCTCAATCTTCTCTAGCAAGCTGTTTGGAGATGAAGAAAAAGTATATGAGGCTTCTGAGGAAAGGGTGGAGTGCATGCAGACAGCTGCAGACAACTTGGTTTCTCCCTCATAAAATATATTCACGGAATTATTGTCTTACCTGGGATAAGGCCCAAAGAGCTGGGTTCTACTCCAGGCAGCGTGAAGCAAAGACAAGGAAATTACAGAATTGGTAGGAAAAGAAAAAATATCCTCTCACATTGCCATTTAAAATATATAAAAAAAGAGCAACATTTATGGCAACACTTGTTTTCCACATAATTACTTGTAGCTTAAATGCTGCTAACAGCGGTATGAAACAGCGACTGGAGTCTAAACCTCCCAAAGCAAATTCCTCTCTTTTGCTCATCCCTAGATAAATGTTGACCTCTAATCAGCAGTCAATCAACCTTGCATCACAGTTTATTTAAACTACAAATAAATAAATGCAACCTTTCTGCTCTGCAAACTAGGCAATGTAGGCAGCATCTCACTGAGACAATTATGAAGAATGAGAAAAGGCTAGAGGGAGAACACTGAAACAGAGCAGGAGAATCTCAGTTAAAATCATATTATAAAAAGCGGGAAAAGAAAGCAGATTTACATGCTAGCTTCCTGAAATTGGATCTCTAGGTCAAAGAACTACGTCACTTCGTGCTGGGAAGATGAAATACTGTTGGGTGTCATACTGGTCCTACAATCAGCAAATGAGCTTCTAATACTGGAATGATTTCCAGTTATTTCGCAACTCACAAGGGACCCAATTCACATTTCAACAGTAAAGATGGGATGACAGAATTTATGATCAACTCTTTATTTCACACAGCACTCTGGAAAAAGAGCTGACAATTTTTGCTTTTCTGGGGATTTGTTTCTTCACAGCTCACAGTGTTCTAAGAAAAGACAGTAAGAAATACAAACTGAAAGGTCGCTGGACTTCAGTTCAAGGTCAAGTTTCTTGGCAATACATGTAGTCACTATCATCTAAAAATAAGTCAACAAGTTACTGTCCCAGCATTCTTAACATTTCAGGTAACAAATGTCTTCAAAACACAGAATATTCCTCTTGCCAGGTGAAAAAAAAGACAAAGATATTTTCTTTCATTTCCCCTGAAAAAAACTTATTCTACCTATACACATAAAATGCTAGACTTCCCAAGACTGAATATGCACAAATGGAAACACGCTTTCTAAGAATAAGCATACAAGATGAGCAGGCAGGCTTACTATTCTTGAAAATGAATGGATGTGCAAATATGAATTCAGAAATACCAGTACTGGTTGTAGTGAAACAAAGGCTTATGTCTCAAACTGCCTGCATATTAATAGAGGCCAGACAACATCATCTGGAATGTATGATTTAAACTCTTCTATTGACCTCTATGGCTCACTGCAATTACTATCAGATGTAGGGTTTAGTTCGCTGGACTCTGAGTAGTTAAAAACAAGTCGTAGGACCCTGGGAAATCAAATCTAACTAAGCGGAAGATCAGATATTAAGTCTTAATGGTACCCTAATGTGTACTGTATTTTTGGTGGAAAAGGGAGTGGAAATACAGTGCTGGGATGGACTCTGGAGGAAGCAACTTGCCACTGTTGAGCCAGCTCAAAACACGATCTTTAAAAATTGGAAGAAGCAAAGAAAAAAGTTAGGAAAATATCTTTTTCTCTAACAAGACCTCACTAGTGAGTATACTGTTTCTCCAAACAAACGGAAGGTAATGATTTCATATACTGACATGTAAAAAGCAAGGCACTAGCTTCTCTAATAAATCAGTTTTTGACAGAAGGATGGCAATGACTTACCTGTGTGGCCTTACATTAGACTTCACAGCAGGAGAAACAAAGAATCTAGTTCTTATACTCTTTTCAGAATTCAAGAGAACGATGCATTGTTACTTCAGACGTGAAAGCCATGTCATGAAAATTTGCAAGAAAGCCCTTTACTGCTTTCTCTGAAGGAGACCAGCCCTCCGGCTGTTATTTCTCCACAGATCACTACTTTGAATATTCCAAGGACTCTGCACAATGTAGAGTGAATAGAAACTAGCATGGCTTACAGCAGGCTGAAGAGTTCCCTGTAGTTCTCATCACCTTTGCCTTCTGAGACCAGGCTGTCCAGCTTATCGATCAACTCTGCTTCCACCTGGATGAAGAAGTGATTAGTTGCAGATTAGCGGTTTATGTACGACACGTGAGTCCCAAACGCTATGAAGACTGGAAAAATATTTTTTGGTTCATTTGTTATGCTCTGGGGGCTGCCCACTTCTCTTGGGAGGTGGGTTACTTCTCTGTGGCTCAGTTAAATGCAAGCGTTTTTCTCATTTTTCAGCGAAATGGGATGACCAAAACTAAATAATCTTTCTGCTAATCAGGAGACAAAATGAATATACCAAGGGAGATGCTACTTCTGCTTCACAGGAATTTCTGATGTTTATTCTCTTTTTTTAACAAATCACTCAGATTGGCTGTGAACAGCTATATCAGATATACTGTATCCTGTACCATAAACAAAAAATATCCATGCAGAGAAACTAATTCATGGCGATCATGAACTAATTCATGGCTGTGGTGGTTCTGGTGGTAGGTAGCTGATTTCCAGTGATCATTATTTCACATTGGAAGATTATCTGCTCATTCAACTCAGTTTTATCAAGCCTCTTTATGATTATATGATGCATTTTCTTTTCGTACTTGTACAAAGGACCAGAAAAGTATCATTATGTTTCTCTTCCCTTACATCATCCATAAGTATTCTCTTTTTCTTTTTTGAACCTAGTGTATCCTATTATCAAGTGTGATACCAGATATTCCCTTAAGATTGGTTCAAGTGCAAAAATCAAGGTATCTAATAGTGAGAAATTCTTCCTTTAGTTGTGAAGTCTTGCAGAAAACATACTTTCAATACTAATGATGACAGAGGTTCATAAAGCTTGAAATGGTTTGTAGAAATAGGGTTTGTTTTTATTTAAGAACATGCATAATTCGAGTTTCTCTGTGTTCTTCAGCTGCCACATTGTAAAGGAAATAAAGATGAGAAGTAAAAGAAAACCAGCCCGTGATACACAAATGGAATTGAGGTTCTTTTTCCTGAAATCATTAAACAGAAACCTGATTTGGTCCATGAATCCGGACTGTTATCCATTATTACTGAAAAAATGACCTTGTTAAAACATGAACTACTGAAGAAAACAAAAAAACAAATAGGCTTGAAAATGAATTTCCAGGATTTTTATATGTTCTAACAACTAATTTAGTATTCAAAAAGCCAACAGAACTTCAAAATTAAAAAAAACAAACCAAAGTCTTTAACTCTTGCTTCAATAGGACAGTGTGAAAATTAGCTTGATGAGTAATTTAAGAAAGATTTTTGCAGCTCTATTCTAGAACACACCAGGGCATGCAAAAATTAAACAGAAATGATGAAGAGTTCATCCTTGATCCAGAAAGAATCAATAGATCCAGAAACTATGACACAGCTGTAGGTACTTAAAATTGTAAGTGCTAGAGCAGAGGCTGTTCCATTGTTATGCTTATACAGCACCTAAATCAAAAAGAGGGTTAGGAGTAAATGCTATTGTAGTATAAACAGTAATAATCGAGCAGAAGAGATAAAAACCCCCTAAGTTTCTGGTAACACTCTTCCACACAACCTGTGATAGGTCAGGTTACAGAAAAGGCCTGTTAATGTCCTGGAATAATAGACTAAATTTGACATTTTAATGACTGTGTGGATAATAAATGAGCACGATAATTACTGTCATTTAAAGACAAGGTCCAATGATTAAATAATTTTTAATTTCATAGCAGGATTTGTTTTTTCAGCAAATATTTACCCCTCAGTATTACCCCAAAGACAATGACAATGAAGCACTGGCATCCGAGGATCCATCCCAGACTTCTACTTCTCTATTTATACTTTATGCTTCTAGACTTCATTTTACAGCGGAAAATTTAAGCGAGTCTCTGTAAATTATTTGACAACAAAAGGGTGATCGCTCCTGCGCCTGTTCAGTAATCATACCTCAGGGCAGGAGGAAGCCAGAGAATTGTTCTTGGGGGGTAACCCGTTCCAGGAGAGATGCTACATGCTCTCAATGCATATACAGCTAGACAGCCCATGTCAAAGCCTGTTATAATTATTTATTAATTCTATAATGCCATTTTACTGACTAAAATCGGAAGGCAGAAGCAAAGGCCAGTGTTTTCACAAGAATTGGCTAAAACTAGATTCTATTGCTGGGTTCAGAGTCTGACTCGTTTAATGGCTGACTAACAATCTAAGCGAAACCAACGGCAGAAGTTAAAGCCCAGCACTCATGAAATCTTTTCCTCTTGTAATAGATTTGGGAACAGTACTTTAAATTTTTTATTTTTAATCTATCTGCATGACAACATCTTCCTCGCAACAAGAACTAAATCCACAGCTGCAAATTCCTTGCTTTCAGCTGGGCATTGCAGACGGACAAAACAAAAGACAGAGAATACTGCAAATGCTACATCACCTGTTTGAAGCTGCCATTCTTTCTCTGCTCCCAATCCATCATGTCATGAAAGATAGGGATCATGATATTCCGAACTTCTGGTTGTGGGACGAGTGTAACTCCGAGAAAGGGGCCAATCATTCCCGGAATAAAGTGAATCTTATGCTCACCTGTACAACACAAAGCAAGTGTAATTAAATAATCATCTTAGTTAGCTGTCTCCCACTGCTCAGAGAAAGATACGCTTCTACAGTAATGCCATATACAAACTGATATGCCCAAGCATTACAGACGGAAACACATTTTTTTCCTAAAAGGACTGAAACAACAATATTTGCTTTACACCATCCCTTGCAAAGCATTTTTAATTTCACTGTGAAAGCCTTCAGCAAAAATTGAGCGTGCATTTTACTTATAAACAAATTCAACCCGTTAAAAATTATCAGACTAAAACATATTAAATGTGGAGAAAAAAAGCCCAGAGATACCTTCTAATTTATGAAGAAAAAGATTTTGAAAGGGCTAAGGACAATAGTGGTATTGAACAGAACATATTTAGATATTTAAAGAACTACAGAACTCTATTGCTATGAAATTTGCAGTTTCATAACCGACCTTGACTTAGGACCAAATAGCATTGCACCTCAGAGGCAACAGAAACGCAAAGCATTTTGCTAACAATCACTTCTGCAGCACGCTTACATTGTGGTGTTCTAGAGACTAAATCATAATAATTTGTAAAATGACAATACCGAGATCTTGTTTGAACTAAAAGTGTTCTTTTAAGTTCTGAAATATTTTTGTCAAAAAAGTACTGCGTTAAACACTATCTGAAAATGGCTGTCTCCAGAAAAGCAGAAATTAGTTGTTTTATTTTTAAAGAATTCACAACATCAATAATCAAGAGCTCTTGTATCAGTAATGACACAATGCTAGAACTTTTTTCTATCACTGTAATTGCACAGCGTCAACCACATACTAGATTTGATTATCTGCATTGTGATATTTGTTTAAAAGTTTGATTGCTTAAACCCTCTAAATCTAGGGTTATTTTGGCTTTGGTCTTTAGCACAGAGAAGATGGACATACCCAGGTTCTGCCACATGCTGAAGAGCTCATAGGCCATCATCACTCTCATGTCACCATATCTGAAAGAAAGGACACAGACAACCACTTAATGGAACAAAAAACCAGCTAGGCAGTGATGTCAAAAAAAGTTAAAGTCGCATTAAAGTCAACATAAGAATATCAAAGGACTTGGCTAATCACTGAACGCTATATTAAGATCTCTACTTATTCATTTCCCAGGCACTGCCACATCCTAAGTCATATAATAAAACATCGTGGTAGAAAACGATGTCTTATTTTTGAGGTATCAGGAAAGGCTAGGAAGCCAACAAAATATGTTCTTACTTATCTAGAATCTTCTTTCTCTTCGCTGGAGTGGCATTTTCTAGTTGGAGACTTGGCTGGTTTATGAATAGAACGGCCAAGCTGAAATAAGAGTTCCACACCTACAACACAGGAAGGATGTTGTATAACATTACACTGCAAGGAGTATATTTTAAACAAGTGGAGAAAAACATATGTTCCTTTAAAATAGAATGAGATTGCTCCCTCTTATAATCAAGATGTAACCTAACAACATGTATGTTAACTCCTAAGATATTAAGATTAAGATAATAACTTAAGATACTAAACAAGTACAATATTACAGATCCTAAAGGACACCACAGGACTGTTTAAAACCTGGTAGGAAGTAAAATTAAAAACCCCAATACAGTATCGTCACTAGGCTTTCCCCTTAGCACCAAAGTTCAAAAAATGAACAAACTTGGTGACATCTGCAAAGTTTAAATTGCTAAACAGATTTCACCCCTCAAAAAAATCAGAGATTACATTATGTCATGAATGACAGCTTTATAATGTAGTCTGGCTTCCTAATGAAATGAGGCTTATGCAATCATGCCATGTGCTTGTGCATGTGCGAATGCACAGGTCTGACTGCTTTTCCTTAGCAACACAGAACTTGTTGGCCACCTTCAACTAGATCAGAGCTAGGGAAAACACTCTCTAAGATACTATTTTCCTCCAGGTTTTCGAAAACAGTCAGGAAGAAAGACCCTCTTAATGACTGAGGAAGGGGAAAGGATGAACCCAGCACTTAACCTCACACATCAGAGAACCTGGGAGAGGGAGATCATGAAATCCCTGACCTCACGAAAAGCACTGCTTGACTTTACATTTTATTAGAGATGAATCTGTAGAACAGCAGGCTTCATTAGCTCCACTGCTCATGAAGATCCTCGTTTCCTTTACACGGGCCTCCGTTTCCTTGGTTTGAGCTCACAATGTACGTGTCCTGCTTCCTTTAATTCCGCAGCAGATTTGGATTCCTGTCTGTTATCAGTTAGGTCATCTTCCTCACAGGTAATCAAATAATGCTGCAAATATAATCAGCTAACACAGCAAGTAGCTCCTGCTGCATTGTTAATGCTAGTTTACAAATGTTAGGACATTTTCTCACTATCAATCCTTACTTTAAAATCAAAGTCTGTTTCCGTGAAATTCTTGTGCAGTGCAGAAGACAGGTACTGAACTGTTGTAACTATGATACTGCAGTCAAAAACAAAAAAGGGGAAAGAAAAAAAGAACATTTGAATCTGAAGTAGAAATCATATTAAAGTAGTTCATGGTTCTGAACAGCAGTGCTGAACTTACTATACAAACAGGCATTTTTTTCTTTAGGCAATCACTGCTAAGTTCATGTAAAAGTCATGAAAAAAGGGAGGGAGGGAGGGAAGGGGAGAGAGAGCAAGCAAGCTATCTTTCACCTATCTCATTTATCTATATAAATACTTTGTAGCAAGATGAAGAACTTTCATCATTATTGTAGGTTTTGGAATTTATACAAGATCTTTTAAATCTTGTCTATTTTTTGCATGGCCAGGCAGTATCACCTACAGTGAAATGAAAGAACACACCCATCTGTCTCCTATTCTAAGTAAAAAGATTCTTTTCCAAAGTACAACTCAAAAAATTTGAGTTATTTTAGTTCTTAGCTAACAATGGCCCTTTATCTAGCCCACACTTCAATTGAACATATTTGTGAATATTTTGTCAATTCCAGATTCACTGGCTTTTTTTTTTATGTAGGTGGCTAAATACACTTTAATGAAAGGAAATCTAGCCCTGTGATAAATTCAGAACTTAATAAACAGTATGTAGGTAAGGCTACAATAATATAAAAAGAAACAGCACACATCTCTGCTTCACTTTGAAGCAATGCTTTCAGTAACACTGATAGGTGTATCTGCCTCTGACAGTGCCAAAGGGAACTAGGCAAATCATAATGTCTGAGGTAACTACTCTTTTATATTTTCTTTTTCTTTTCTTACAGAACTTCATTTAATCTGAAATATTGAAATCCACTTCCCTCACTTTTCAATAGCGCTGCGAACTCACAGAGCATACACTGACCACTCAACCTTTTGGAAGGGGTCCAAGGAGCCTTCTTGCAATAGGGACTCCAGCAGTTCTCAGGTAGCGAGTAGTAACCCTATAGCTAGTTTATCTAATGAAATAAGAAACTAGTAAATAATTCCAGCCTCTGGCTGCTCATCACGCTGCTACCTTTCCAAACAACAGAGTACGTAACATAGCAAAAGCAACAAAAGAAAACAAAACATTAAAATTGCGAATGACAACTTAATTGAGAAATAACTGTCTGTTATGCACTTAGTGTCATTGCCGGGGTCTTGCTCTTCCTTTTCTAACACAACTGAGTCCTCCGTCTGTCTAGGGTAAGGACTGCTGTTCATGGGAGGAGACAGAGATTTCAAGTGGCAGTGTACTGAGAAAGGGAACAGAGACGCCTGCCTGTTACCACCACTTGGTGTGGGTACGTTCTCTGCCATGCGTTATGACACCTGCAGTGCCACTCTTAGCCTCAACGCAGTTACTTCAGCTCTAATTTTAAACTTTTAACTCTTTGATATCTGTACATATTGGTAGAGCACAAGAAATAAGCAGACAACAGAAACCCCAATTTGGTCCAGAGTATTAAAATAAATGCAGAATAAATAAATAAACAAACCCAGGGAGAATGCTCCAGAGTTCCTGTCTTGCTCACCGCACCTCAGTCCAATGAAACACACTGCACCAGGGGTTTTAAGGGCCTAGCTTTTGAGAAACGATTCCCATGCAGAATGTCAACAGTTTACACCTGCTTCTCTACTTACTTGCTGGTGAGCAACCTCATCACCATCCAGTCCCGAGGGAAGACACTCATCTTCATCAGGTTCC